GAGCTTACCAGCTCTACAGCTCAGCCGCACCTTTGGGATGGGCTGCAGCACTAATGAGGCTCCTGGCTGGGGTCTGCAGGATGGGTGCCGAGCACAGGCACGGCCCCTGTCGCTCTACAGGGAGGGTAGCCTCCTTTTCCTCGAGGCGGGGTGTCAACAGGTGAGTATTGTCCCTGCAGGTGGACGGCAGGGGGCGTGGCCGTCGCCAGATCCGTGTGCTCATTTCCACACGCAGGTGTGAGCTTTCCCATCTGGTGGGTCAGCGTGAGCACATCTGAACCCCCCCAGCTCTGAGCCCTCCCCTGTTGCCTGGCCTGCTTCACCAATTGCCAGAGGACTTTTTCCTTAGGTGACTTGTCATAGGGAGCCAGAACTCACCAACACGATGTCTCCCTTCCACGTGCGTGTTTCACTTTCCTCCAGCTCCATGTTCGAGTGGGATCAGTGCCTCTTTCACTGAAGCCTGCTATGGAGTCTTCCCAGCGCTCTCTGCAGAATGCCTTTTGATTCTGTCACCTGCTCTCCATTCCCGCTGTCCCTGCTCAGTATTGTCATTGGATCGGATTACCTATTAAGCCTGTTGTGGACTGAATGTTTGTGTCCCTTCCAAATTCGTATGTTGAAGCCCAGACTCCTAATGCGATGGTATCAGGAGGTGGGGCCTTTGGGAGGCTATTAGGGGTTAGATGAGGTCATGAGGGCGGGGTCCCCATGATGTGATGAGAGTCCCTATAGGAAGAGGAAGACGGGTGCCTGCGTGGCTCAGTTGGTTGGGTGGCCAGCTCTTGGTCTCAGCTCAGGTCATGATCTTGGGGTCCTGGGATCGAGCCTTGCATCGGGGCTCCTTGCTTGGTGGGGAGCCTGTTTAGGGATTCTCTCTCCCTCTCCCCCTTCCCCCTGCTCAAGGGCGTGCTGTCTCTCTCAAATAAATAAATCATAAAAAAAAACGAAGAGAGACCAGGGTGCTTGCCTAGCTGGAGCTCTCTCTCTTCACTCCTCCTCCTCTCTTCTCCCCCTCCCCCTCCCCTATTCCTCCCATGAGGACAAAGGAGAAGGGGGCCTTCTGCAAGGCAGAAAGCCCTCACCAAGAACCAAATTGGCTGGCACCTTGATCTTGGACTTGCAGCCTCCAGAACGATGAGAAATGTGTCTTGTCAATGGTATTTTGTTATGGCAGCCCGAGCAAACTAAGACAGCTTTCTCTTCACAGTTTCTCTGTGTCTCGTCTCCGTTCCTTGTTTTCCCATCTTAGTTCCTTTCATGGCACTCACTGCTGATTGTAAAGATGTATCTGCTAGTCTGTTAGCTTCATAGCCAGATAGCCCCCTCCGTGGAGCTGCATCTCTTTTGTTCCCTCTGGACCCACGCATGGGCACTTAAAAATGTTTCTTAAAGAAATGAAGAAATGCTGACTACATGCACCTCCAACCAGGTCTCCCTACATCCTGCCTCGTCCCTTCTGACTCACGCCTTATGCTTTGGTCAGGGTTATGTTTGTAAAACACTAATTCCAATGACCCAACCCTTCCTTGTCAGAGTGTTTATTGGGTCCAAACCCACCCCCCCCACCCCCCGGCCCGGTCGAATGTTTACGGGAGCTAGGTGAACTTAAGATCAAGCTGATAAGTGAGGAAAGGTGCTGTGAATCATTAATAAAAATGCATTTAATTTCAAATTGTGGATGTGCTTTAAAAGTAACCCTGAAACCCGTGAGCACTACAGGAAATGGATGAGTCATGCCTCCCACTACCTGGTGTCCTCTAGGTTGGGGCTACATAAGGTCAGCCCTCGCCGCCTGAACCTGCCTCTCACGACCACCAGCATGCTGTCCCCAGCAGACATGGCCTGCGGCACCCCTGTCTCCACCGTCCCCACGCGGGGCTCCGAGAGCTCCCACTCAGCAGGGCAGTAAGCCCCCTCCGTGACCGTGTGTATTCTGGGATAGTGTGTTGTGTGCCTTGCAAGGGGTAGAGATCTTCGGGGAAGACAAGGCAAACTCTTTGATACAGCTATTTAGAAAGCTGGGAAAACACAGTTCAATAGAAATTTCCTCTTCAGTCAACGTTGGTCCATTTCCCCTCTCCCCTTACTAAGAGGAAGTTCCGTTAGCTCATAGAAACCCGGAATCACACATTCCTCAGCCTGGAAAAGCCCTCGAGGGAGATTACTCAGTTTAAGAACAAACGGCCTTCTGTGGGGCACTTGAATCCAATTCCCAAGAAGCCGGTGAGCGGTGAGCGTCTCAGCGCCACCTGCAGGAAGGACTCTTTCCCCCACAAGCCCTGACTGGGCCGGGCAGGAGACCCAGCACAAACTCCTCCTGTTCATGCTTCCCAAGGGAAGCAGGCAAGGCCTGCAGCAGAGCCCACATCCTCGGACTCCGTTCTCCCAGCTGCTCTGCGTTTGCTTTCTTGCCGGCCCCAGTTGCTGATTCCTCTTATTCTCTCCATCTTCGTATTCACCTCTCTGCTGCTCTCCATCCAACGTGCCTTGAGGGCCTTTTCCTGGGGGCAGAGGCCACCTCCAATACTCATTTCCAGGAGACCCCACACCTCTTAACCAATAGGACAGGGAGGCTTCCAGGGCAAATCAGTTTGATCGGTTCCAAATGGTGTGATATTAGTCAAGTTCTCTGAAGGTGATAGGATCGGTGCTTCCCAGAACTGGTTATTTCCTCAGAGTGAAATGGGGAGAAGCATCGTTGGAGATGACACAGGAACAGGGATGAGGTGTCCCCATTCACCTCCTCGGGGATCCAGGATGGGACAAAGTGCAAAGTGCATTGGAGACTCTGGCCAGGGCCCTGAGTTTGCTCCATCCGCAGGGCTGAGCTTGGGGAGAGACTCAAACCCACGTGTGGCTTTTCGTGGAAAGAGCAGGCTGCTCTCAGAATCAAATGCAGATGGCTTCCGCCCTTATGAGAAGCACCCCTGGGACGCACCTCCACGTCGAGAGGGGCAGGTGACAGAGCTCCAGGGAGGTCTGGTCTCTTTTCCAACTGGCCGGACGCCACATTCAAAACACTGTTATCCATACCCATTACATACTTCATGTTAGCGTGAGGACTCCTGTGTCTGTCTGACTTGAGCCCGAGTCTTCGTTCCTGCTAAAGCGACATCACACATCTTGTTATCAACCTCAATTATCAACAATTTGAGGCTTCCACCAGTCACCGTTTCTGATCAGAAATTTGACTGGTTTCACATGATTCCTGAGGTCCTGACAATTTATTGAAATAAAAAACATGCGTCTCTGATTTACAGAGCCTTGCGTGCAAGGCACATTCAGATCCACCGCCTTGGTGGAGCCTCACACCCCTGTCCATTGAACACGTCAGGCGTGGCTTTCTAGTTTTACAGACGAAGAAACCGAGACCCTTCAGTTTACAGATGAGGAGATGCAAGAAACAGTGGAGTCAGAACTAGAACCTCCAGGTTCTTGAAATACTCAGAATCCTTACACTGTACCATGCTGCTGCTTCATTAAATAAGTGAACAAAATAAATAAATAAACCTTCCAAGGGAACCCTGAGGAATCTTCCCGCAGACCCAAGTTTCGAGAGGGAGTTCAGTTATCAGATTGGCACATCAGAGCTTCTGGGTAGGATGTGGTGGGGGAGTCAGGGGTGGTTCTGGGTGGATTTCCTGAGCTGGAGTGTCTCTTCTCAGAATGCCACAGAAAAATGCAGGGCCAAGTGGTGACCCGGAAGGGGGCGGGGCAGGCAGACCCCAGGCCTGTCATTCCCCCCCAGCTTCCTTGCCCATGGACTGTAAACTCGCTTTGAAGATAGAATCCAAACGGACTATGGGGAGGCAGGGCCCATACCTGTCCCCTTCTGCGCCCAGGGTCGGGTAGTCCTCTTAGCATGATACCACGGACTTCTGCTAAATCTGTTAATCCCCAGCATGCAAAAGAAGCTGGCTCTGTGCAGATATAGGTTCTGCAGGCAACTTCCTCCCAGCCTAGGGTCACACCAGGCTGGGGATGTCACCCCTGATGCCAGCTTGGTTACCATCCAGCATGGAGGGCCCACTGGAGACTGAGTCACTATTCCACATGTGCTATCAGAAGATAACAGGGTCTCTGAGAAGTGGCTTGGCCCAAGCTCTCATAGCTGGACACTGAGAGAGCATGGGTCGGAGCCCAGTGCCGGGTCCTGTGGGTCTGTAGCTGGATACTAGCAGTAAACACAAGTGTAGGTCCCAGCCCTGACCCTCTGGGGTGGGTGAGCTGGTGCCTGAGCCCAGAGACCGCCTGAAGTGTTGAGTTTTGCCCAATACAAAGAACCTTGGTTTCTCTGGTACCGTCAGCAAGATGGTGGGGGCAACAGGATGGAGGTAGTGAGTGGCTCGGCCACAGGGGCGTCATCCCCTGGTGGCTCTATAGAGCCGTGGCATCTGACTGATGGTGGCAGACTGACAGGGACAGATACATCTTAAGATCTTCCGTGACAAGCTCCCTGCCTGGGAGGACTGCCAGCCGGGAAGCTTCTTCCTATGACCATCCCAGAGATCAAACTTGGCCTCTGCTCCCTCCTTTGTCCTCCTAGAAATGACCCCTTCAGGGAAACCACCCCCCTCCCCAGCTCTCCATCCGGCTGAAGGCCCTGGCACTTGGCTGGTCTAGGGGGGAGGCCTGGGTCCTTACTGACTGCAGCTTGGGCCTTCCCACAATTCCAGAAAACCAGTGATTCCCCTGAGCAAATAATCTGTTACAGCACAGGAAGAGCCCAGAGGAGGGAGGAGATCTCCGCCTGGCCCTTCCTGGCTCTGCCGAGTCTTCGGAGCCCTCCTGCAGCCCAGGCCGACGCCACCCATACAGCCTGCAGTAGTTTAGCAGGACAGTATCTCTCTGCCCTGGGCCCCTTAGCCAGCCCTGCAGGGTCTGGCAAGGGCTGGCCCCACTGGGCTTGCCGATGAGGGCTCACACTAGCCTCATGCGTCACTTCTGATCCCGGTGGGCCCTCGTGGCTGAAATCAAAAGCAGCCCCTTAGCCTGAGTCACTCATTGGAGTGGAGGCTGGAGATCAGTGGCAGGGTGACCAGGTTTGAGTCGAAACTGTCCAGGAGACCGCCTGGGGCTGCCACACAGTCCACAGGGGCAAGATCATGGGCCAAGCTCCAGTCAGATGCTCCTAGGTCAGCACAGCTGGTCAAGCCCAGGAGCGACCATTCCTCCATTGGCTGGTCCCACTGTACAGTTGAGGTCTCCGAGGGAGTGACAGTCATTCCTGGGTCCTGTTTCAAATAGCCCTTGGCCAGCACTGGTAGAGGCCAGCCTGCCTCGGCATCCAGGCACGTCCTGAACCTGGGGCCAAGGCTATCTGTCGAGGAGGGCTCTTCCTCCAGGCAGCCTGTCTTGGCTGCTTTCTCCTCTGTGCATCTGGTCTGCTTCAGGTAGCCCCGGAATGCCACTGAGGCTGGGTCTTCTTCCCCAGGCTCCTCAGGCCCGGGGGCATTGACAGGGCCCAAGGCGGAGCCACCCTGCCTGTCCCCAGGCTGCCCCTCAGAGTTTTGGACTAGGCCGATGCCACTGTCATCCTGGCCCGGGCTGCTGTCCCCCACCCGCCGCTCCCAGCTGGGGCCAGTGCTGGGACTCAGGCCAGGCTCCTGCAGGCAGATCCCACTGTCTGTGCTGCTGCTGCTGCCGCTGCTGCCCTCCAGCTCCAGGGGTGCCCCCTTGCCCGTGGTGCCCCCAGCCTGGGGGTGGGGGGCAGGGAGGAGGAACTGGAGCTCTTCATTTTGCAGGGATGGCTTGGCACTGCCAAAGCCACTGTCCGTGCTGCCGTGCAGTTCCGAGTTCTTCAGCTCTGGGGACACTTTGGGGAAGGCCTCCTCATCCAGGGGATGGATGGCGTCCTGGGGCTCGGGGCAGGGAAGCTGGCTGAAAAAGCTGGAGGCCTGGGGCTTCTCGAAGACCTGGAGAGGAGAGGGCAGAGTGAGAGAAGCAAGGGTTACCTGTGGGAACCCTCTCCGGTGTTGCAGGTTTGGCCCTGGGGCCAGGAGGCGGGCTCGAGAAGGTTCTGCTCTAACCGAGGAGCCTGCAGAGCCACTTGCACTTTTTGTTTCATTTCAGAATCGACCTTTCCTCTTAGTGCGATTCTGAGTTTGGCTCAGGCCTGCACGCTCGCAGCCCAGATGGAACGGCAGGCAGAACAGGAGCTGGCCGGGAACGGTGTATGTTCTCAGCCCCAACACAGTCCTTTCCAAACCTGAGAGCAAGCCGGACTCATCGAGCTAGATCTAGAAGTGTGTTTCAAACTTCTTTAGACTATGATCCCAAATAAGAAATGTGTTCCATGATTGCCTGTATATGGATATCCCATAAACTGAAAGCAGTTTCATGAAAGAATACTTTTTACTAGCCGGGTACTGTGATCTACACTACTCCTCCTATTCTACTCCTGTTCTAGTCTGTCCTACCCTGTCCTATCCCGTCCCCTCCATTATCCTCGCTTGTCCATTTCATTTTTTAAAATGCTGGATGTGAGACACCAAATTAACTTCCCCAAAGTTCACCAAATTAAGTGACTTGCGCAAATACACGGTGGCTGCCACGTGGGGCAGTGGAACGAGCACAGAACTAGCAGCAGGGGAGGAGTGGCTCCCCACAACCTGCCCAGAGTCCCAGGGAAAGTCACTTAATCCCTCTCCCACTAGCTGTTCCATCTCAGCCACACTGGGGTTCTTCCTGCTCATGCATCAGCTCAGTGCTCTCAGGGCCTTTGCACATGCTATGCCCTGTGGTGGGAACACTTCTCTCAGCGCCTTCTCTGGCTGTGTCGTTTTAACATTCGGGTCTCAGCTCAGATGTTTCTCTCCAGAGAGGCCTTCCTGATCATCCTGGCTAAGGCAGTGCTGCGACACTGTCTACACTCACCTCCCTTACTTCTTCCTGGCACTTGGTTCCTGAAATTTTGAAATTTATTTTCTGCCTCCCACCACAACCTGCTCTCTAGCCACACTTACTCCCCACACCGAGCAGAATATAAGCTTCTTGAGGACAGGAGCTGTCTAGTTTTGTCTGCCACTCTGTTCCAACTGAGCTGGCACATAGGAGGCTCTCTTAAAGTTTGTTGACTGACTTACTGACTCACTGAGCACACCTGCCCTCATTCCCTTTGTAAGTTTGGACTTGAATGCAACTCTTAATTGGTTGAGTTCCTATGAATATCACACAGGTTGGTGATTAAGGATAATCTGTTTCTAGAGCCAGACTGCATGGTTCAAATCCCAGCTCTGCCTTGTATCAGCTGTGTTGCCTTGGCTGAATTATTTGCCCTCTGTGCTTTAGTTCCTCGCCTATAAAACAGAAACAGTGACAGTACCAGCCTCCTCATGTTGTAGTTAATGCATGGCAAGTGCTTAGAACAGTGCCTGGTACAAAGAAAGCACTCGGTAAATATGGGGCAAATTGAATTTTACTCTCCAGTCTAAGGAGAGAATCGAACTTCAGAGAAGTGAAATGACTTGCACAAAGTCACAGCAGCAAAGAACAAACCTGCGATTTGTACTCCACTGTCCTGATCTGAAATCCCCATTTATCCAAAGAGCAGATCAGAACAGCGCATGAGTGGGAATAAGCATATGAATGTGAAAGTGCTCTGTGCACTCGAAGTTATTCATGAAGTTAGTAATGACCACCATCATTAGATGAAGGCAACTGGGCTGCATTTATCTTGAGAAGGAAAACATTCTCAAGGAGAGCTCACTTCCGTGATCCAAATGGCACAGAGGAATGAAAACCCAGAGGCTGCGTTGTCTCCTTTGGCATTTTGCACCTGTGCCTATTTCCCTGGCTTGCACTAGAAGTTATAGATTCTACGCTGGCTGCCCTACCGGGCTGTAATCAAGCCCCTTGGGACCAAGGGCCGCATGAATCAGCTTCTTCCCGGACCACATGTGGCCTGTCATTGGTGCTCAATAACTGTAGCTCAACGGCCACTTCACTGATCTCTTCCTAGATGCTCTGACGCCCACCGAGGAATCCCCGCTACATATACCAGGACCAGCCTCCCCCACCCCTTTGCTTTCTCGTCATCCGTCCCTGAGGGCAGGCCCCATCCTGGTTCCAGGCCCTGCATATAGAACATGCTCAGAGCACTTGTTAAACAGGCCGATGCATACATGTTTGTGGAACGGAATCTCCCCAGAGCACAGAGAAGGGACAATGAGTTACACACTTCAGTTAGACACAGGAAGAACTTTTTAATCCTGTAAGGCTCTTCGTCATACCACTCTAACCAGGGCACTGGAGCTAGGAACATAGTCCTTTGCTGCCGGACAAAGACCCTAATTAGGCCAGGCGGTCCCTTCTCTCCCCACATCCCCACTCCCTAGAGTTCTTACTCAACATAATTCCAGAGGGTCTTTGTCTCTCTCCTTATTTTCCTAGAAATCCTGGGATCCCTCTTGGCGGGGTAGCCCTCCCAACTGAAGGTCCTCCCCGATGGAGCCGGTCCTTCCCAGCAGAGCCCGCGGCCCTCACAGTGATGGCCGCTGTGGGGGTGTGGCGGCAACCTCTGGAGCAGCCTGAATCCTAGGCGGGCCAGGCAGAGGTTTGGACATGCTGCTCAGTGCTGCGAGCTGCATTCTGGAGGCTGGCTTAGCACAAGTGCAGCAGTTGCCCACACTGTGTGGCAAGAGGAAATGCTCTGGGAGGGGGGCAGAGACCCTGGCCACCTCCACAACCCCTCCCGGGCAGCACCCCTCATTCTGCTCCCTGCCACTCTGGCAGTAGCCCTAGGCCTGGGCTTCCAGCCCCGTGTTCTTCCTCTTCTGGAGCACTCATCATCACCAGCTGGCAGGGGTGGGAAAGACTGGGCTCTTCCTGACTTCTCCTGGCTCCCTGGCCCCCATGCATGGAAAAAAAATCGCTCTCTGCCTCTGTTTCCTCCCTTGTAAAATGAGGATAATAACCCCACCTACTTCAGAGGTACTGATGCACAGGGGCTGGCCCATGGCCAATTGTTAGTAAAGTGTAACAAAATGGCACGTGGGGGGTTGGGACTACTCAGTATGTGTCTTATCAGGGGCCCTTAGAAGGCAATGTTCTCAGCACTGGGCTTTGCATTTAAGCCCTCCCTCTGTCCCCACGGTCTTTGATGAAGGGGCCTCCTGATAATGTCAGGGCTGAGGGAAGGGACTGTCTGAGAGGGAGCCCCCCGTCTCCTGGAGTCCTGCTATGGCAAGGAAGGATGGGCCAGTGGCCTCCCCCTGAGACTTACCAGGACGGTGGGCAGCTTCCTCCGGCGCCGCACGTACAGATGGAGGGCCAGGCAGTAGGCCAGGGCTCCACACAGAAGCAGGACGAAGGTGAAGAAGATGCTGAGGTTGGTTGTGGTGAAATCTACAGGCCCAGAGAGATGTGTCTGTGACCTGGATCCCGGGAATCCACGGCCACTCTCAGGAGCCACTCAGTCAGTGGCCCCCGGTGACCCCCTCTAGGCCACAACCACATGCTTCTGGATCCTTGGACATCCCTGCCTGGCCTTCCAACCTCTGTCCTGAAGGGATTCCCTCACTAGACCCACCAACTCTGCCTCTAGCTCTGCACACAACTCACACCACAGCACGTGGAACGGGGGTCAGGATGGGACAGCAGGTAAGAATGGAGGCCTGGCGCCAGTCCCAGCTCCACCACTGACTCAGCCGCTCTGAGCCTCAGTTTCCCCATCTATAAAATGGGAAAAATAATAGTGCCTACCACATGATTGTGAAGTACACAGCACGGATCATCCACCACCTCCCTTAACTTATGTTACCTGATCCTTATAACAACCTTAGGAGGTGAGTACTATGATCATCCCTATACAGAATAGGATCCTGGGGCCTAGAGAGTTTACGTAACTTACCTAAGATCATATACCTCGTAAGTGGTAAAGCTGAGATTTGAAGCCAGACCTGCCCACAAAACTTAGTTCTTCTACCAGTGAGTGAATGTTAAAAAAGCTCTTAAGGCTGCCTGACACAGGGATGGTGCCTTAACTCTACTTAAATGAGAGTGAGGCTAAATGACAATGAACTTGTGAGTGTCCTTCATGAACTGAAATGTAGAAATATAGGGAGTCACTCTTGTTTTTGCTGGGCCTTGCTGGCCTGGCATGCCTGGTTGGGGCATATGCTGCCCTGAATTGCTATTTACAGCTTCCTCTGGGCATGCCCTGTCCCCCCAGCCAGACTGTAGGATCCTCACGGACAAGACCATGGCCTTCACATCCCAGGTCCTCTCCCCTCCCTCCTCTCCCTCCCCTCCCCAGCACCTGCGGAGAGCCTGGCTTTAGCAGCTCTGGCAGGGGTCAGCTCAGTTCCAATGGGGAGGGGAGACAAGGAGAAGGCGCTCTGCCCAGCCTCAAGAAAAGACAGAGGGATGTAACAAACAGAACTACCACAGCTGACAGAGTGGGCCTGGGGCAGGGAGGGGTGGGGTAGCGGTTCTTGGGAAGCACAGCTGTGCTCAAGCAGAACACCAGCACCAGCAGAATCAAGAGACCTGCTCTGCCACCATGCCCCAGAAAGCTGTTCAGACCCACAGAGCCTCAGGTCCCGCATCTCTAAAATGGGGACAAGAGGAGCTTTCTCATAGGGCCCTGTGGGGGAGTGCCCCTGGCATCAGTGGTCCTCAACTGATGCTTTTTGGATTGTGTGAGGCCCTTCCTGCCTCCCGCTCCCCCCAGACAGCAGCCCCAACCGCAGACTCACACTGCCGGGTGAGCACAACGCACTCCTCCTTGGACCATACCCCCTTGTTCAGTCGGGAGCTCAGAGATGGCTTCACCTTGACACAGAACTCTCCCAGATCTCCAGGGGGTGAGAGGCTGAAGTTTTCATGCTTCACCTTCTCCTTTGTGAACTGAAACAAAAACAGCAATAAACAAAATAAACCCTTGATTCATGGACCATGGAAGCTGAGAGTGGGGGAGCCATCAGAGATGTTCCAGGCCACCCCCTTCATTGTCCTTTCCCTGACATGACAAACCCAGTATTATCAATGCAGCCCAAGATCTCTGTGATTAACATGACTTATTTTGTACAAAAAGAGAAAAGGAACATTTTATAGACGCTGTGGGCCTTCCTAGAAGGGGCTGGCATCAAATGGTGGGAAGAGGGTGGATCTGGCAGATTCCAGATCTCCCATTTGGGGTGTCCGTGGGCAATTACATAGCCTCTTGGAGCCACATTTTCCCATTTATAAAATGGAATAAAATATCCACCTGCCAGGGGATCAGGAATAATAGCTATTAAATTTCTTGCGTGGTGCCTGACACTAGTGGACCATGTCTTCCCTGCCACCTGGCAGGAGCATAGATTTTTTTTTTAAATTTTTTATTGTTATGTTAATCACCATACATTACATCATTAGTTTTTGATGTAGTGTTCCATGATTCATTGTTTGTGCATAACACCCAGTGCTCCATGCAGAATGTGCCCTCTTTAATACCCATCACCAGGCTAACCCATCCCCCCACCCCCTCCCCCCTAGAACCCTCAGTTTGTTTTTCAGAGTGGCAGGAGCATAGATTTGAGGGCTGAGGTCACCTCAGCTCCCTCCCCTGCCCCACGCCCTCCCTCTCTACTCTGCCAGCAAAGTTCCCCAGGGGTGCACAGAAGGTACTGCCAGCCCCGCTGACAGGGAGGCCCAGGGAGCCCCACTGTGTTACAAATACAGATGTCCTGTGGCCCTGGGGAGGCCCATACCGTGTAGTTCCCCGGCACCTTGCGAATCTGAATCTCATACTCGCGGAAGTGTTGGAAGATGCTTTCGTAAGTGTCGCCCGCAGGGGCTATCTTGGGCCTAGGGGGCTGGATCTTCCCGAGGATGATGCCATTGTGCACCTCTAGCTTCATGCTGCCAATCGTGAGAGTCACTGGTGGGGAGGCAAAATGATGAGGCCTGCAGGCTGGGGAGGGCCTGGGTGCCCTGCCCATGCCTGGCCTCTAGGGTCAAGCTTTACCCACCCTATAACCTGGGCCACCGCTTTCTCAACCTGGCAGCATATAAGGACTTCCTGGGAAGTACCTTACAAATACAGATGCCCCGGGTCCACTCAAGACATAGTGAACTTGAATTTTTGAAGCTGGGCCCTGGACACATTGGTTTTTAAACACATTCCTCAGGTAATGTTTCTGTAGCCAGCTAAGCACTGGCCTGCAGGCAGGCATTTGGGAGCCAAAGACCTTGAAGACCATTCGTTCTGACTCTGAATTTTGCAGAGCAGGCTCACCACACTCATATGGAGAGAGCATGGTCAATTCCAATTCATAGAATGGCAAAATCCCATCAAGTCTGGGGCTTACCCTTTTCTCTTATGTCTGCTGAGAGGGACCCCCAACCCTCCTTCAGTAGCATCTCCCTGCTTCAAAGCCTCACACCCTGATCACTGGGAGTTGGGCCCTAAGGACTGAGGACTGGATCCAATTCTGCCTACTGTTTCTTGCCCTGTGCTGAGTGCTTTTGGATTTACTTCCTCTTCCAGAACCCTACAAGTACACAGGTCTGGCCCTTGTGACTCAGCTGCTCCAAACCACCCCAAGACTTCTCTTTTGTAGGATAAACAACTCCAGTTCCCCTTTAAATCTTGAACAACTTGGCTATTTTCATCTAAATCTTCCCAAAAGTCCTGATTAGTTGTTTGGGCAACTAGGTCCTTACCCGGGAAGCCCGGCTGGATGGTGAGCTATGGGAACAGAGTCACATTCTAGACTAGAGTTTCTGGCAGGAAGGAACCCCCAAAGCCCTCTTCTAGGCCCAGGGGAGGAAAAGCACCTTCATCCACGGAGAAGCGGGTGTTGGTGAAGGTCCAGTTGGAGTACTGGTTTCCATCCACCGTGCGGACCTTGGCTCGGTAGCCATTGTTGTGGTACAGGTCCAGGGTCACCATAGTGAGGTCACAGAACGACACCTGGGTCTGGCTGCAGCTGGGGATGGACTTCCAGGGTTCTAGCCCATACCTGGGGAGATATCAGGTAAGGCACTGGTAGAGGAACTTGCGTTCAAACTTACCTCCTTTAAGAGGAAAGCAAGGTGCCCAGGGAGAGAGCTCCCATGAGGTACAGCCTACAGCGTATTTTCTCTGGTCCCGGGTATCTAACTGCAAGAGGATCTCTCTTGGTTCTGGGACTGCATACCAATTTCTCTTAGACTGGAATATCTAACAGATGTCCAACTCCTCCAGGAAGACTTGCTACCCACCACAATACAACCTGATTTCTCAAGGCTTTCTCCCAATTACATTTGCAGTCTGTTAGGGTTTCCTTGTTTTCCAATTATATTATGGATGCATTTCTTGTTTCTCCAATAAGATGGAAAAAACTTGAGGGAAAAGGAAATACCTTGGCTTTCTCATTCCAGAGTTCCTTTTACACTGCTCAACACATATGGGGATCAATCAGTACTTTTCAACTGATTGATATATACCAGCATCCTTCCCGGTGTTACTTCAATAACAAGACAGCTATGTCTTCCTGTGCCAGGGATGTGAAGGGGATGCGTGTGCCCCCTCCCGCACCCACCTCCCTCCTTTCTCCATCCTCCCCTTTCCATACCTCAGAAGCTCTACTTCATAGTAGGTGCTGTTTGACGGTTTCGGGATGGGAGTCCAGTGGAGGACGTGGGAGAAAAATTCTGCTTCAAACCACACAGATGGAGGGCTGGGCAGATCTGTCCCTGGCGAGAAGAGTGTCAATATCAGAGCTCGCAGAGCCCTCCCCCAGCGATGAAGATGTCGATGGTGATGGTGGCCATAATCCTACCAGCTTCCATTTATTGACTACTTTACTGTGAGCTGGACTCTCTGCTAAGTACTTTACATATGTTCTTTCAGTTAATTCTCACAAGCAGCCCTACAAGATAGAAATTTATGGCCCTAATTTTACCGGAGAAGAAATAGGGGCTCAGAAAGGTTGAGTGACTTGCCCAAGGCCAAAGGAGCTAATAAGGGGCAGGGTGAATCCACATGTGTCTGATTCCAGAGCTAGTGTTGTATCCTTAGATCACTGTCTGTGATCGGAAACAGAAGTGGTGGCTAAGAAGAGCCAAGGGGAGTCTGATGTATCTCCGGAGAGAAGGTATGGGCTGAGAGCTAAGGTATGTCTGTCAGCAATGAGCTCTCATCTCAGATGAGCTAGTCCCTGTCCTTGCTCCAGTGTCATCCCAAGGTTGGCCCCCATCCCATCCCTGGTTCCTACCCTGGCCCCAGCCTTGGCTCCAGCCCAAGGCCTCCTCTCTGGAGTTCTTGGGGGTACACAGATATCCTGCTTGTTGTCATCTGCCTGTTTCTCTTCACAGGTCTCCCGGGCAACCCCAAGCTGAATGCTTACCCCATTCCCCCCATGTCTAGAAGGGCTGTAGGCTGGGTGAGGACAGACAGAACGAAGCAGGTCTGGTTCTAGATTGTGCTGACATTTCCACACAGAGCCAGCACCCTTGGCTCCGCGGTGAGATACTATATACCACTGTCTAACTCCCTCTCCTGCCCCCGCCCCCCATTCAACATGGGGCACTCCAACTTCAAGAGCCTCAAACTAACACTTGCCAGTGTGACTTGGGCAAATTACTTAACCTCACCAAACCTCTCATTTGTAAGAATGTAGTAAATACACGTACTCTAAGAGTCTTGCCAATCAAGTACAATGAGGTAGGTTAAGGCCAATAGCCAGTCTGTTCTCTCCTCCTCGATTCCTTCACATCTCTCCATATGCCAGCCACTCAGGCTTCCTTTGTTCTCTAACTTCTTGCCATCTCTCTAGTAATGCTTCTTCTAGAATTGTCATTTGCACTTAGAAAGTACATCTCCCGTTTCTTGCTTGCTTTTTACACTATCTTTGATCCTCAAGGCTGTTTCAATTTCTAAACGTTAGATGGAAAGTGAGAAACGCCGCGGGTCTTTGCGGTGTTGGGGCTGCATATCCCCGACTCAGTTCTCGATCATGTGAATGGCTGACTGCAGGTTTTACTTTGTATTTTGGTGTAGACGCAGTTTCAGTCCCTGCTCTCCCTGGCTCCACTCTCCGTGCCTCCACCTCCCTGCCCTGGCATTCTCTCTCCAGGCTTTATTCTTCTCTCTTGCAGAAACTTTCCAGGATAGCTGGCTGGGTTAGAAGACTGAGCTAAGGGGTAGGAGGAGGGAGAGGGAGGCAGATGGCAGTCGGAGCACATTAGGGGCTAAAGAAGGAGCAGGAACGATCAGATGGAGCAACAGGTGATAGTAGGGGACAAGCCCTGGGATGGGGGCGGGAATGGCATGGGGAAGAAGTAGGTTAAGGGGAGGGCTAAGGGAAGGTGGAGTCAGATGGGGGATCAAAGTCATTCCCCCGAGGGGAAAGCATTCTTACCAGTTGAACTAGAACAACAAAAAAAGGCCAGGACTAAGTTTCTGATTCGCTTGGAGGTGGATAGAAGATAAAGTGGGGGTGCGTGGGTGGGTGTCACTGAACTTCTCTATCCACCCCCCCCCCATCAATTTCATGCTCTTCCAACTTCCACAATGGGGAGCCTGAGATCCAGGCTTGCCGGAATGAGGGAGCTTCTGGGATGGGGTAGACAATGGACGCCCCCTTCCCCAGAGGGACAGCCAGAGGGGGTTCTCCGTGGAACGCACAACTTTAACGTAGGGGCGATGAAGAGCGCGAGTCGGGTGTGGACGCGCACCCAGCCCCGCCGGGCGGGCGCGGAGAGGGCAGGGCAGGGCCGGGCTGCGATCCTTACCGCGCGCGCAGGAGCCGAGGCGCAGGCTGAGGAGCACCTCCAGCAGCACTACCAGGCGCGGCAGCATCCTAGGCACGCCGCATCCTCCGAGGCCGGAGCCGGAGCGGGAGCCGAAGCCGGAGCAGGAACAAGGCTGCGCGCCTCCAGCCGCGGCTCGGCGGGTCTGCCTCTGAAAGCCGGGGCTGGCGGGCAGTCCCGCCCACGCCCCGCGGGGCTGACGTCAAGGGGCGGGGCCCTGGGAAGCCCCGCCCCCGAGGCCGAGCGTCCGCATACGGGTGCGGGGTCGAGCGCCCACTGCCGAGTGCTGGCCGCCCCACCCCGCGGATGGGGAGGATGTAGGGGCCCGGCGGGTGCCGGGCCGTCACGGGCCGGGGGCGGGGTTCTGACCAACCCCTCCCGGCTTCCAAGGCACCCACGCTGTGATCGCGTCAAAGAGGCCTGGGCAGGTGGGGTGGCGGTGGTGCAGAAGGTGGGGTGCGGGTGTCAGAGCTGGTTTTGCCCGACGAATAGGGTTGGGATTGGAGCTGTGGCCAAGGCCCGCCGCTAGCTCGGAGTTGGGGAAGGAGATTATCCCAGGCGCTCAGGGAACATTGCTAAGACACGTGTGACTCTTGGTGTTGCCCTAGTACCTCGGTGTGGGGCTCTGAGCCAAACCAACGGTAGAATAGGCAGTCCCATCTCTGACTTAATAGTTTTGGAAGGGTGCCCACAACCTCCCTCAGCTCCTTTTGGTTTCCCTGACTTGCCTGAAATCTCACGTTTAGAGCTATTCCCCCCCCGCCCCCGCCCCCGCTGGGTAATAGCATTCTTAGAGAACTGGGTAGCATATCATCGGTTACTCACGCTTCAATATCACGCTTCAATATCACTTGACTCATCTGAGATTTCACTACAGGTGCACCGAAGATGTGGGAGCACGGGAGACACGCTCTGTCCACTTCACTCTGGTTGCACCGTGACACCTGCTTTAGAGTATGTGCGAGTATTGAGGAGGGGGTCCTATTGGGGGTCGGAGGGTCTACTTTAGGACCAGGAAGACCACACTTTTTGATGATGATGAAGGTCAGGGATGCCCCAGCTCCGTGGATAGTGGAGAGTGGTATACGCAGGCCCAACAGGACACAGGGTCAGTCGGAGCCCCCCTAAGGGGACAGCTCTTGTTGCCACACCCTCCGATCAGCTGGGAGAAAGAGTTCCAGTGTTTGTAATGTGTGAGAATGTTTTCTGCACTCTCTGTTGCTCAACTGAAAGATTAAGAGTGTGGCCAATTGCTCAGAGGTATCCAGGCATGACCCAAGGGGTGGGGCCACCTTTTGAGATGACTTCTCAGTTCCTACCGACCTTTTGAAGGAGGAGGACACTGCAGTTTCTTGCTGAGCTTGCCTTTACGCTTTACTTTCTTTTTTTTGTTGTTGGATTATAAGAGTTTAAAAGTCTTACCCCATTGCCGTTTTGAAGGAGGGTCAGATTTCTTTCTTTCTTTTTTAAGATTTTATTTATTTATTTGACAGAGAGAGAGAGTGAGAGCAGGAACACAAGCAGAGAGAGTGGGAAAGGGAGAAGCAGGCTTCCCACAGAGCAGGGAGCCCGATGCGGGGCTCGATCCCAGGACCCTGGGATCATGACCTGAGCCGAAGGCAGATGCTTAATGGCTGAGCCACCCAGGTGCCCCATAAATCCCTGTGCTTTTAATCCCATTTCACATATGAAGAAACTGAGG